AGATAGATAGATAGATAGATAGATAGATAGATAGATAGATAGATAGAAAGTCAGATGTTAATCAAAAGAGGTACCAAGTACCCAGAAAGAGAGAGGCAGGTCCCGAAGAGTCAGATGAATTGTAATAGCAAAGTAAAAAAAGATATAGAATCATTTCAGAACATTTATCTGTAATTCAGAAGTACAGTTGTCATATGTTTTTATTAACACGTGTTGTTGACAAGATGACATGGATAATAAAACAATCTAAATCAATTTAAAAACTCTGACCGACAATAAAAGTGGTACAAACAACTAATGAATGCTGAACATGACATTAGATTAGATTTTTCCTTGAACTTAACATATAACATATCCGGACGAAATGTGTTGAAAATCTAATTTCTGACTTTTAAATAATAATATGTAATACTGTGCTATATTTACTAGTAACACGATATAAGATCAGGGAAGAAGAACTGTAAAACTGGGATGACAAAAAATATTTTACTGTCTTGTTTGCGAGATTCCAAAATTCATGGGATTGTATTCATTACAGTTTATAACCACTAGATGGCAGTACACTCATATTTGAAATGCGTTGCAAAGATTTATTTTCACAAACACCAAAGAACGTCTTCCTGTCACGGCTTTCAAAATAATTATTTGGAGACGCGTGTTTTTCCCAATGAATGATAACTAATGTAATAAAAAAACGCCCGTTTCTAGACATGGAATCCACATATAGGTCATTCGTTGCAGCTAGGATTCAGTTTACACAATCAGTGACGGGATATTTTAAGAGATATATAACACGCTAGTTTTATTCGGCCAGCGATACACTTTTCTTTATTTAATCGAGGGATTTGTTATACAGAGTACCTCTTTGAAGAGGTTCACACACAAGTAAGGGCCCTAATGTTGTAGCCCTAAACCTTAAATGAACACTAGCAGGAAAATAAATTAAACATAAATGCTAAATAAGCCAACATGTTGGATTTTCTCATTTTCAATTAGGTGTTAAGAGTACAAATATGAATTCGAAAAAAAAAGATGTAGGCTTCTTATGCTAAATACGTTTTGTTTCACAAAAAAATATCAAATACACTGAACTGCCAATTTCATGAATGAAAGACAGATACATTTTTAACGTATGAGGGAGACAAGGGTATTCGATCATTTCAACCTGTTCACTCAGTATTAAAATGCGTGACCAATCCTCAAGATAGGTAGTGCCCGTGAGAGGTTTCTCCCAGCTTTCCTATTGGCTGCGCGGGATGTCAATCTCAAGCGGCTAAAGTTAGGTTGCAGTGCAGGTGAAGTGTTGACGGTGGTTCATAGGGCAACAAACAGCAGCGTACACCGCCGAGGGACATCAATGGTGGAGTACGCGTCCATTCAGGGAGAGGTCTGAGAGAGACCATTACTGGGGCTTACATGGAGAGCTGAAACTGAATATGAGGTTAACGTCCTTAATGATGTACATATCTCCGGTTCAGCTATTTGTTTTGTACGTATGTATTGGATTTTACGATGCTGCCCCTCGCATCCCTCCATACGATGCGTCGCTCACCTCCACGAAGCCCGGCTCAGCCTCCGACACCCGGGAGACCTTCGACACCGACGTGCCTCGTACTTTATCCGAGAGCAGGTTTGCTCTCGGGCCTATAGCCGGACTCTTACCGGCGGCTGCCATTGTTTCGGCCGCCGCGACGGCCGCCGGTGGCGGCGGCAGCAGCAGCAGCCCCGTCTCTGAAACGGAAACCTCCTTCCAGCTTCCAGCAACGAACCCGACCTCCAGCCCCACCGCCGGCCCGGACCCCGGAATAACCCCGTCCGCCGAGGAGCAAATCGTGGCCTCGGTTTACAGACTAAACAAACGCTCCGCCGACGCTCGAACATCACATTTTACTCCGGAGAAAATGCTGCAAACCATGGTGTCTATGGTTTCCCAGCGTACCGCGAACGATGCATGGGCTGCAGATAATATTGGCCCATCCGCTACCTCATTAGAGAATAACCAAGGTGAGTGATCACGGATGTTTTTTCCCCCCCCAGATGTTGAGATAATGTCGCTTTGCAAACAGGTTGGGTCGGCTTTTAAAAACCAGGATGTTCAAATAGAATAGGAAGCTGTGAGGTAGAGAAAAAAAAGAGAAGACGTCCATGTCTGATGCAGACTGCTGGATGCTCGCTCGGTGATTTTTTGACGCAGAGAGCGACAGAAGAAACCAGATGGCAACAATGGGGCAGACCCCTCAGCCCCAGTCACCGTGCCCTTTCAAATATTTAGGAAATGCGTAATCACAAACCCCCCCTACCCAAAACGATGGATTCATCCCATGCCCGAAATCAGTGGCCTTGTGTGGATTTCAATAGTCAGATGATAATACAGTAGGAGCGTGTTACAGTGGGATGAAAAAAGGGGGAGTCATGGGGTGGGGGTGGAAGGTTGATTCTGTTGTTCAGTGATTCTCCACACTCTCTCCGGGATCCAATATATTTCCGTGGTCCCCGTAGAGTGAAACCTGCCAGATTTGCATTGACAAGTCATTTTAAGAAGCTGTTGAAAATGCTCCCGCATCCCCCCCCCCCCCTTCCCCCCCCCCCCCTTTGTTTTTAGGATGGCATATTCAGAACAAGGCCATCCAACCAAAATGGCCAGACGGGAAAAGCCATGAATGAGCAATGACAGCGGGGGCCCCTCCTCTCCGGCATCCCGCACACATCCCTGCCTCCATGTGGATGTGTTGTTCTCCCAGTCAGCCGCTCCAGACACAGACCCCCAGCCTCCCATCCAACAATTAGTTCTCCAAACTCAGAGAGGATGCTGCTTATTAATAATACAGCACGCGGAGCCTCAGAAAATCTGCAAACGACCGGTTTCAGTTCACCATTCTGTTTGAAAAATGCGACTTGTAAAAGGAAAAGGGGGAGAAAGGGGTTTCATATGGTGATGTGAACTCTTCTTTGTCCCATTTAGCCTATAAAAAGCTT